GAATGAAATATTATGTTATCCTATGTTGCATGAAGTATAACTGGAAATATCCGAGATTGTAATCCATTGAGAGGTTAAATACCCAAAGCAGATAAAAGACATCGAAGATGTCTACCAAGTCTAGTTTTCGTTTATCTGAATTGATGCATTCATATTTGTTTTCAGATTTATGTTTGACCTGTTTATACCTGGTACTATGAGATGACATGCTAACTAAAGATAGGTCTTTATATAAAAAATCCAATGTAAAGAAGAAAGCCAAATGTCTTCATTCAACATATTAAACCTGAATATTTGAATTGACAAAGTGAAAATTTACAATTGTTTTTCATCTACTCCTTTTATAACGTATATGTGTGTTTTAAAGTAAAGGCACCATCTATTATAAGACAACCTTAGAAGATTATTATTTTCGTATGACTAAAAAACTGTCATGTTTTGGAATTTTTGTCAGATTTTCGGAATCCTCTGGTTTCATCATATTTTGCCCACTAACCCCCATTTTTCTTTTTATAAATCTTTTGCATGTATAAATATGAGGCATCTGTAAAAGTCTTATAAAATCTTTGTTATTTGTTAATAGTTTTTGAGAACTTAAACTTGTCAATAATAAAGCTATGAAAAATCTAGAGTGAACATTTTCCAGCCAAAATTTCAATGGCTAATATCTCAAAATCAAGCACACGGACCTATATTTTTATTTGCTCTTTTGGTTCCTTTATTAAACTCCTATCAATATATTCTAGTGTTATATAAAGCTTGCTATTTTGAAACTGAGTAGCGAACTTCCTTAACCACCAATATCCGGCTTTGATTTGTTAACTATGTTGATAAAAAGGTCCAGGGTCAGTGTAAGCAAACCCCAATTATTGAAAAATAAAGCGAGGTTATACTGAAATAGAATTTTAGAATAATTTCACAATAATTACCTACTAAGGAAGATCAGGATATAAATTTTTTAACAAACCTATTACAAATAACTACAAACAAAAACTAAATAAAACTTACATTCGTGCACTTTTTCTGCAGAAACCGTGCCTGTTTGTGGGTACATATACCTTTCATTTACTATAATAAAACAATAAACGATTACAAATACACTTCTGTATCATCGATTATATCATGTAACAAAGTTTATTCTTGCAACAGGATACAACATAAAAGATAAGTTTGACGGGTTTGGCATGTAAAGCAGGATATATATACTTTATGGAGAGATTGTGTTTTCTCAGTTAGGAGTTGGTTCATTTGCCAATGTTCATAGTTGACTATTGATACGTAACTGAACATAAGTTTGCATTATCTAAAAATATATGTATATATATCTATATAATGAATTATTATACGTCAAAAAAGTGTAATAAAAACAAAACCAAAATATAAATTAGATAAATACATAATAGTTAAATATATTGAATAACTGATATCCTACATCAGTGTGCAGTAAATTGGAGTCTTATTAAACTTGATTGATTTTCTAAACAATTTTGATCATCATACAAATTTAAAACTTACAAGGCTCATAGAAAATGTATTTGTGTAATTCTAGTTCATGTAATTAAGTATTTTAAATAGGCAAGCTGCGTATTTTTACATCCCATATGACACATATCCAGCTTCTGTGGTTAGCACTGAACTGTTTGAACTTGATCCTTTTTCGCGGAAAAACTCTCTTCTACCCAGACACAGATGTATTATGATTAATTTGTTAAATGTCAGGCGATGGTGACCTGTTTTAGTGTTGTCAGGAGATCTAAAATTCGACTTTGAAGACGGTCGTGCTTTTTGGTGATAGAGATTACGATAGCCGTAAAAACTTTTGTGAAATGGCTGTCTTGACTCATCAGCATACTGTTGACCACATTTACTCTGTAGTAGTTACATAGAAAAAAAAAAAAAATAACATAATATATAATTTTGCATATTTTTATCTATTGTTTGCAATCTTGTTAATTAATACTTTTACCGTGTTTATCTTGTGTAACATATTGATTTGTTTCAATAAGAAACATCACTGATAAAGCAAATATTTTTGTTTCTAGTACTGTAAATGCAGAAACGTTTTCGAGAATTGCAAACAGTATAAGGTTCGCCAAAATAAAAAAAAAAATCGAATTTCAGATGTTATATTATCATCTCGCAATTGTGTCCATCCTTTCAAAAAAACAATCAAAAATGTACAGCATTTCTGTTAAAATTTACAGCATAAAGAACTATGCGTGCATTCTGAAAATTATCTAATAACTTTTATATTAAATGATGAGTTGATGTTTTAGAGATAGCATACTTATCAATTTTAAAGGAAGATTAACAATTACATTCATTTACTTTTACTACAGAGACTATGCGTATTTGTGGATAGGCATATCTGTCCTCCAATGTAATTTGACAAATAAGCAACAATATACCTTGACTCTTATACCAATGTGATTAGGATTTTGACCAAGAAGTTATTCTATAAAATCACAAAGCTTTTAAGGACCAGGTGAGATAACAGAAAAGATCTTTGAACCATATTGGAAGGATTTGTAGTACATGTAGGTAATTTCGCAGATAGCACAATGATTTATCCCAAACTAGAATTTAGCTTTTGAATGGTTAATTGCTAGTTGTTATATACATTTGGAATTTCCATTAATACTAGGGCATATCTGCCAAAGGCCATATAGGACTAGGGAGAAAAAACACCTAATTATTTCGAATGATTTTAAAATTGAATGAATACTAAGTACATAAGAACAACAAATACCCCTGATAGCTCAACACATGAGGAATTAATTAGTCTTGCAACAGGAACATACTGAATATTCCGTCTTTGAAAATCCTCCTGCCTAATCCATTCTCTCGGATATATATCGGTCATCCCTTAACAACTATTGTTCATGTCGTTTCTTTCGAAAGATATTCGCGTTTTCAAAGGAATTTCAATAAGACCATTTAGTCCCTCTGGATTATACATGTGTACAATCAAGTCAGTGAACTTTGACCGTCAAGTACACACAAACCAAATTTTCCTTATTCGAATCTTAAAATATATTTGAGAGAAAGAACTACATCATGTACATGTTAGAATAAATTTCAGTATATGAGAATATAAGAATGTCTGCTAAAGACTATGGTGACAAAACTGACCGTGACTTTTATATAGGGTGTACAATTTAGTTCATATAGCTCTGAATCAAAACATGTATGGCTGCTGGTTACTTTACAAAAATAGAGTAATTGCTTAGTACTTATGACATGACCTTGACAATTGACCCTTAACCTTGGTGCCAAATAGTTTCGTCAGTCGTCCTGAATATTTTCCTCTTTATATATATATAAACAAGTCTAAATTGAAAACAACGTTCAAACCTATGATTGAGTTGGATAAAAACCGCAATTTTTATACGTGTGCATGCAAAACAAATTTCTTGTAAGAGGGGTCTAAATACAGCACAAACAACATTTTCCAAAAGTCCAAAAAAGTGAAAAAGTATATTTTAACAAAACGCATTTGACTAACAGGTCGAACAACAAATGTTCTTAAACCCTGCCGACTGCCATTGGCGATTGCCAAATAAACGGATCACCAGGTATAATAAATGGATCTTATTTATAAATTAATACCAAACAGAAAACAATAAACTTGCGGCAAAGATGGTATACCGCAAACAAAAGGTGCAAAGATTTTTGTACACCATATCCGGATTTCGACAATTAATGTCTCTTCAGTGATGTTAGGAATCGAAACGGTATTTGGAAGGCCATATAATTTACCTCAATTTATGATAGACCCTTGAATTTTGAGGAGTCAAAATAGGATGAACGGATCATATAAACCCGAAGGCAAATATGATACAAGCCCAAACGAAAAAAATATAAACAAGTCTAAATTGAAAACAACGTTCAAACCTATGATTGCGTTGGATAAAAACCACAATTTTTATACGTGTGCATGCAAAACAAATTTCTTGGTAGAGGGGTCTAAATACAGCACAAACAACATTTTCCAAAAGACCAAATGAGAGATAAAGTATATTTTAACAAAATGCATTTGACTAGCAGGTCGAACAACAGATGTTCTTAAACCCTACTGACTGCCATTGGCGATTGCAAAATAAACGGATCACCAGTTTTAACAAAATGGATCTTAACTATTAATTTAAAACCAAACAGAAAACAATAATCTTGCAAAAAAAAAAAATGGTAAACCGCAAACAAAAGGTGCAAAAATTAGTACACCATATCCGGATTTCGACAATTAATGTCTCTTCAGTGATGTTAGGAATCGAAACGGTATTTGGAAAGCCATATAATTTACCTCAATTTATGATAGACCCTTGTATTTTGAAGAGTCGTAATAGGATGAACGGATCATATAAACCCGGAGGCAAATATAATACAAGCCCAAACGGAAACATATAAACAAGTCTAAATTGAAAACAACGTTCAAACCTATAATTGCGTTGGATTCTTTCATAATATGTGAACATTTGTTAAGAAAATTCATACAATTGGCGAATACAAACAATCACAATTGTAAAACAGTTCATAAACAAATTACATATATAGGACCGAGATTTTGCAAAAAGTATATTGACAGGTTTTAACATTTATTTTAATTAACTGTTATATAATGCCTGCGTAGGGCGCATGATAAGGATATTGCTACAACAAAAATGTTTTTAAAAAATGTTTGTGGCAAGTCAAAAATATGACAGTCATTATTCATTCATCTCATATATATATTGTTTAAGGGCATTTAATTTCCCGTTATTTTATAAGAAATTTCATAGAAACCAGTTATGTACATCAGTTCAAAGTATCGGTATTGATTCGTTTTTTATACTTGACAACTTAACTTTCCAGATATTAAAACTAGTCATGACAAGTAGGATACTCATTAATGTTAGACATGATATTTGTAAAACCAATATTGCTGTATAGCAGATATCTTTTTGCATAAGTTTATAAAATGCGATCAAGTTAAATTCATAAAATATAGTAGATAGACTTACAACCAATTGCCGACTGAAACACTGAAATTGATGAAGAAAAATAAGATCTTTACAGACTGAAATGTAATACGATTCTGTCTTTCCGTTTGAATTTAAGACTTTAACCATTGAAATAAGAAAGACACATAGTTAACTTGACAGTATCGGTTCGTTATCAATAAATTTTAAGAATCTACAGGAACATTTATATACGTTAAAACTAGAATAATCAGACGAACTTCAAACTATAAACATTAACGATTCACCTATGCAAGGTTAACAAAAAACAATTAAACGAATAAACGAGCAAACTCAAGTTATTTTTCTGTCTCTTTATGCAATGTTAAATGTAGTTGTAACATTAATTTTGTTTGCAATGAACTTACCACATATGCTGAAATACACCAAGTAAAGGGTTATCATGTTGAAATCAAGAGGTGACAAGTTATAAACAAATTTCGCAGTCGGCTTTATATACAACAGTTTAATCAGTGGAAGAACTGATAAAGGAATATTATATTTAAGTGAGTGCAGCGCGCAATAGAACATTTACAGTTATGTAAAGTTCAAGGTTTTGTTGCTAAAGGTTAATTTTAGCTTTGCTAAAACACAGTAAAGAGAGCAGTTATCATTGAAATTGCACTTTCTGAAAAAATGAAGAAAGTACAAATTGTACAACAAAAACCTTATTTGAAAAAACCGACATACAGAATTATGATATAAAGGAGAAAAACCCTGACAAATGACAGTACACATGACACTACATTACAAATAGACACTTAGTAACACAAACCCCCAACATAGCCAGGCGTTCAACTCAGATGGTCCGGGCTGGCAGTATTTTTATTTCCACTACATCTTAAAAGTTTAAAATGATTAGTTTTGTAAAAAAGGTTGAAAAAGTTCGTTATGTGCTATCTAAACAAGATAATTGAATTTCTTTTAGATATTATACCTTCTCTCTTTTAATCTCAATCAGTGGTTAAACAAATCGAACATAAAATACAGGTAGAAAAATCATAAAAGAAAAAGTTCTGATCTCTACATTTAATATAACACAAACACAAGTACCAAAGACTTAATATCTAATATTAATAATTTTCAACATTATAATTTGGATAAATGAGAATGATCGAGGTAATTGAAACCAATTTCAAAGTGCTCAACTTGCTAATAAGAAATCATGTCCTTCAATCTTATATCGGAAAAACAATAATATCATTGAAAGTACAATACTTTTTAATTGTGGCAATTCTACATCGGCCGATTTATTGTTTTTGCATTATTTTGCTTCTTTGTTTTATTTTCTTTCTAATTCAGTGTTGTACACTTTTTAGGGGCGTATATATTTTTATGTATTTTCACAAAAAAATCAGAGGTTATTATTTAAATAGATATAAAAAATGGCTTAGCGTAGCAAAAAAAAAACCGAGTCTGTTGACAAACATATTTGTTCTATTCATTGAGAGTACAATTACGTAATTTTCCTTGTGTGTAGTTAAATCTATCAGAGGATTCTAGATGAGTTGTTCTTACAAGATTTGGAACCATAAGACGAAGAAACAGATTAATTTCTAAAAACTCATACATATTCATATAGGTCACTTCGTAGATGCGAGGTAAAAATTTAAAATGAAATTGCTTATTTTATTACATATCTTTTTAAGTGCAATTTCTCGGGAAATACATCATCGATTTTGTATCTGCAAAGTATCTAATTTATTGCACCTTATGTCTTCTAATGTCTAGCCTTATCATACATGCATATTATTCGTGCGTATCTTGTAGACCAAGGTAAACATTGCTGACTGAATTGCGTATTTCATAAACAAGATCAATGTCGACGTACATATGTTTTGGAAGACTTTGTTCTAAACTAGGGCAAAATAACAGCTGTAAATCAACACTATTACAGTACTTCGATTATAGCGCTTCTGTCGGTTACCAACCCATGAATAAAGGGTCTTTGGGTAACCGTAAATTAAAATTGCAAATCAAATCTTCAAAAAAGAATAGATAATTAAAATTGAAATAAAACTAAAATGTAATGAAATTATGAATTAATAGTGTACTGAATTGAACCCTGGCAACAAATGTCCAAATCAACATGAGAAACTACGTTTGAAGTGTAAATGAAGATTAAATGCATTAATGTTCTAAATTAAATAATAAAAAATCAAGTTTATCGGTACTGGCAACAGACGGTCATAACATCATCTTTGATCAGTGCATTATTATTGTCAATACATTATCACTTCACCATATGGAGGTCATAGTTCGGTTAATTGTGTTTACATAAACACAAACAGATCCAGAAGCCGTGACAGGTTTTCTTCAAAGTTGAAGTATATGTACAGACAACACACATAAATCTGTAAAATAAAAGCAAAAACAGCAGTATCGAAAATAAAGGGAGAGGCCGGTTGGGTATCAAGTAATCATGTGTGTACTAAATTAACTCAATAATCTGACCTTAAATCAATATAAATCCTTGAAGATAGCGTTTGCAAAATTTGTGATTAGGAGTGCAAGAGCAGTTAATTTATATGTAGTGTAATAAATTTAGACATGCGCGTCTGCTTTGACCCGCTAATGAACTATTGCTAGTCTTCCTCTGATAACGCGATTTAATGGTCGAGCCCTTTAAATCAAATTATAAGAGATAACACATGTTAAGAATAATATATATTTATTGGCGAAGTAAGATCACGGCTTCTGTCGGTTACCAACTCACGAACAAAGGGTCTTTGGGTTACCGTAAATTAAAATTGCAAATCAAATCTTTAAAATAGAATAGATAATTAAAATTGAAATAAAACTAAAATGTAATGAAATTATGGATTAATAGTGTGCTGAATTGAACCCTGACAACAGATGTCTAAATCAACACGAGAAACTACGTTTGAAGTGTAAATGAAGATTAAATGGATTAATGTTCTAAATTAAATAATAATAAATCAAGTTTATAAAGTCCGCCACTAAACAAATTCGAAATTTTCTGTCATAACAGAATGTTTCGAAAATTGTTACCGCCAACCAGTACTATGAAGGTGATTTATTTAAAAATAAAAAACCTGTATGTTAAGGAATCTGACCGCCGTAACTACAAGCTAACAGATTCCCGAAGCCATGGACCTACTTTGCCGTTTTGTGGACAAATTGTATGTGAAAATGTTATAATGTCAAATAAACCTTGCTGTAACCTATACAAAAACAAATCATTTCCGATATCTGATAAATGAACACCGTCTAAAAATAAATCTGGGTTGTCTTCTGATATTTCTGAATATCTAATATAAGCACCGCCCTGTTTGATGATATATGTAGCAGCTAAACTATCTAATCTAACTCTAGTTCTGTTCAAAGATCTGTGTACAATCTCATTCCTGTATTTCAATCTGGGTAAAAATTGAAACCAAACAAATTTTGACTGTGGTAGTAAGACCCGAAGGCAATCAATTACTTTTAAAATATCGTGTCCTAATACACATGACACATTTTGTCCGATATCATTTCCACCACAGTGAAATACTAATACTTGCCGGGGTTCTTCAAATGTAAGCAAATGTTTGACTTTGGGTATTATCTCACAAATCTTCTTTCCACTTTTTCCTTGCCACCATATTGTAGTTTTTATTTGTTCCAAACCTAAATTTACACCATCGCCAGACCTTCTAGCATGTACAAATGCATGTTTGATGATTGAAGAACCTACCAACCAAACACTCTTTTGTTGACCTGAAAGTCTAAAAGTGACGATCAGGCGAGTATTCAAATTTCAAATTAATAATGTACAATATATACAAACAAATAAATGATGACACATATTAAATTTGACTTGCTAACTTTAGCGTTGGTATTCTGATATATCTTTTATAAGCTTTCGATTCCCAACGACGAAAATCCTGAATTTCATCATCAGAATACCCCATTTTCGAAGACTGAGATGCAGCTCCGATCCTAAAACTATGACTTTGAAAATTATTCGATGTAATATTCGCCACATTCAGAGCTTTCTTTAGAACAGCGTTAAACTGATAACCTGTAACATAGTTTCCACCGAAGTGTATGAATGCAGGACCAATACTTTTTGGCCTGGCAATAAAATATTTCTTTAATAAATGAACATGACAAACATGAGAATTATTTGAAGGTATAATTATTAAACTACCTTTGCCTAACTGATCAGTTTTTGAAAATTTAAGTTTGATAGAAACGTTATTTTCCAAAAAATTAAATCATCTAACGACAAAGTGTGAGAATGTGCCAGTGATTTATTGACTACTAATTCCCCTATCCTGAAAAAGCCGAAATAGGCCAAACTAAACAACCCCGAAAACAATAAGGTCTCATACTGTGAGAGACATACAGATGGTAATAGTGAAATCAATTTGTCTAAAATCTGTGGCGTAATTGGCAATCTTGAATCCACTCGTTTGTCAAGCCTTTCCATTTTCTTAATTATAAAATTTTGAGTGTTATCAGTAATATTTAACATTGTACATTTAAAGGCTATACCAAAAATATAAGACTTGACAGTAGACGGATCATAACTTCGAATAAATAAATATGCTATAAAGTTACAGATAACATTAAGTGAGGGTGGCCAAACAATGGCATGTCCGTGTGAAGATCTAAATTGATCAATTGACCTGACAGCAGTTTCATAAGTGTCAATTGTGTTTGGTGAGATTGACGCCGTTAACAACTTGTTGGATTCAAATTTGAGATCACTTGTAGAAAAGACTGTGGGACCTTTTCTGGTTCTTATAGAGCCTCTGGAGACATGCGTCGAAACCGTGGCCACTGTTGACGAGAAATTGCATCCGCAATACAGTTTTTGTTTGATGTAATATGCATTGCTTTGAACTGAATATTATAAACCATAGCTTTTAAGACTAAAGTACGAAGAATATGCATTACCCTTCTTGATCTCGACATTTTAGAATTCACGATATGAACAAGTGCTTTATTGTCAACGTGTAGGATAATTTTCTTATTCGCAAAAGTCTCATACAACAAATGAAAGGCTAATACAATAGGTAATAACTCTAAAAATGTAATGTCCTTTAATATATCGCAACCTAACCAAAATGACGGCCAAGGAAAGAAAGCCCAATTAGGATGTAAATACGAAGCACATCCACCAAACGCACTCCCAGCACTTTCAGTAAATAACTTTATATCAACATTTGATATTCAATCGGAATCGGGAAAATAAAATTTGCCATTAAAACAATCTAAAAATAACGACCACAGCCTTATGTCTTCCTAAATTGACGCAGTGAGTCTTGTATGGTGCCGAGGATTTGATATTCCTGACATTGCATCATAAAAACGTCTGTTGAATGCCCTACCCGTAGGGATCACTCTCGAACAAAAATTCAAAATGCCTGTTAAAGAGTGGAGAACACGTAGTGTTGTTCTTTTTTTGCCTAACAAGTTTAAAATTATTGCTTTCAATTTCAGCAATTTCTCTTCGGGAATTTTAACTAACATTTCAATTGTATTGATTTTAAGCCCCAAAAAATTAAGAACATGAGTTGGACCGACGGTCTTGTCATGTGCCAAAAGAACTCCTAAGTGATCACATAAACAATCTAATTCACTCATCAGGTTAAGGCAAGTTGAATCAGCCCCCGGGCCTGCGAACAAAAAATCATCTAAGTAGTGTATAACACTATCCGATCCCGTTTTGTTCTTAAAGATACATTCGAGAAATGTTGAGAATTTCTCAAATCTTGCACTAGACAGACTACAATCTTGAGGCAAACAGCGATCAACGAAGTAAAAGTCCAAAAATTTGAAACCCAATAACTCGAAATCATCCGGGTTTAGTGGTAAAACCCTAAATGCCGAGCTGATATCTTTTTTC